TAGTGCTACATTCATATGACGGTGGTTATGGATGGGATGTCTATTAATTCATACTGTCTGGGAAAGTGCCATTGCTACATTGTCGGTTAATGTACAATGAATATAATGGTTACACCAATATAATGGTACTCTATCGCTCAGTTGGTAGAGCATGGCGCTTGGTAGAGCATGGGTTCGACGCCCAGGACTAGGCCTACCCATACATGCACGCATGACTATAAGTCGCTACAGATAAAAGTGCAGGCTGAAGGGCATTCTATTATATTATAATGGCAGGTAGAAAACGGGTGGAAATTATCCATGAGGAAAAGAGACGAGTTTCTTCAAAATAAAGATATCATCTGCTCCATTCATTCTGTCAGGGAGAAGAAAAGTGTCTGCCTACCTATCGTGTCTGCTTTGCTGAAGCGTCTGGTGACCACGTTGTCCATGTTGCGGTCTTCACACAGCTTCAGCTCTGTGAGGTACACCTCCACCTTGCAGTGCTTCACAAACATACCCTGTTCTACCACCTGTAGAAATATGGCAATAAAGAGTGTCTTACATCATGGCAGATTGTTAATAATTTGGTTGATTTCCTCTTGTGTAAAGGTTTGTTTTGCAAATTAAACACTTGACAATGTTAAAGTTGTCTTACATGACAGATGGCATGAGAAGAAAATAGGCATCACTCGGTTACAATTTTGCCAATTAAACCCATTACATTGTTCATTTTGTTCAAAGCATTTGTCATACATGATGGCATATGAAGGAAACTAAAATATTCTTTGCTAATTAAACTCATCATGACATTGTTCCAATACGGGCAAGATTTGCATGGCTGAATGATCGCAAGTATGAACTTCCTAAAACTCTTCAACAGTGAACAGAGAAGCATTCACGAACTTTACCAAGAAAACAAGAACTAAAGAACACAGCGTATGGCATTAGAATAATCAAGCTCATTATTTGGGACAAAAACAACAACAAAACAGAAACAAACTAAGAATTTGGCTACCCAATTAATAGGCCTATCTATACACTGAAAGCACTTTAAGTGTATAAACTATAGGCTACACTTTCTAACTCCCTTGACAGGAGCGAGTCACGAAGACTCTTAATATAGCCCCAGAGCGTAGAGACAGCTGAAGGGTCCATTCCTATTCATTTCACACAGCCCCTCCGCTGGTGGCTGGACCCACACCACAGGGTACAGACCTGCCCCAGCCCATGACATCAGCTGTAGGCATGGGTCAGATTCACCCACCACCAGACACTGCCCTCCTTATACAATGAATGCCCAGCCATGTGTTCCACACAAAGCAGAGACAAAAGGCAAGTTGCAAGTCTCACAGTAACAAACTCTGACAGAACAGAAATGTCACAAAGTTCTTAAACAGCTATGCTAAGAACCAACGAGAACAGATCTACCCCGCCCCCTCACTTTCTGCTTAGGCTAGGCCATCTCTCCCTCGTTCTCTTTCCCCTCTCTCTTAAAAAGCCTCTCTCTCTCTCTCTCTCTCTCTGTTTGACCTCAGCCAGCATTCCTCCACTTCAAAAAACAAGGACACTCTAGAATCACTCCCCGGGTGAGCCTCAACGTAGAGAACCTGAGTGGAACCGCAAGAGGAGAACCCGGAAAATCAATTCCAACACAGTCTGACAAGAACCCCAAAAAGTGAGAAAGAAAGAAAAGAAAACCTCCTGCATGTTGTGTCTCGTAGCTCGCTCCATGTAGCGGTGTTTCAGTCATCCACAGCACTCTCTGAAAATAGAAACGGCCAGGGCAACTCGATACCCCCCACAACATACATGGCAAAAAGGGGAGGATCAATGGGGGGGAGAAAGAGAAAGCAGTGCAGCAGCCATGATGCGATGACTGGCTAGATTTGAAAATGCAGAAAGCTATGTCTGGGCTCACGGAAGTACAGTAGGCCTGGCTGGCAGTTAGCTGTTAGAAAATAGCCCTACGTTAGCAGAACCCCTTTGCCGGTGTTTCCGGGAACACAATCCTTATGTGAGTTACTGGCTTATACTGAAGTCAGTTGTCAGAGTTAAACCCAAAGCACACTGAATAAAAAAGCAACTAAATAATATCAATGTAGCCTACTTCCACTTTAGAAAATCTGATCTTCTGAGGACAACATTGCATCAGTAAGCATCTGTGATAGGGTCCACATTACGTTTTAAAAACCAATGAAGTCCTTATACAGCATGCTACTTTCAGTCCACATATTACAAATAATAGCTAGCATATTTGGAATACCGGTAGCTAAATTGTATCAAATCGCATGACCAGTCCAGCTGTTTCTCTTGAAGAAGACATAGTGAGAAAGACATCACCTAAACATTAAGATAGCTTATGCTTGAGATTCAGTTACTAGCTGGGTAGGCCTTAATATCGATCTAGAAATCAAAGTTATCCTGGTATCCTTTTTCACAATCGTCCCAATCTGACCTGTGTTGAGGTGTATTGATCAATCCAACCCTATAGAACACATCCAAGATTTTGACACAGTGAAACTTCAATTACTCCTCTCACACCACAATAAGCTCTTCAGCTACGAGTAGGCCATCAACAAACAGGCCTGACGGCAACCATTGAAATGTAATTGTGTACTGACCATATTATCTTACCTCATACTATTCACCAGTTCACATAAAAGTACCTGAGCTTTGACTGAGCTTCTCTTTCATCTGATTACCGCTGTAGCACTGGCGCTACGTGCACTGTGCCCAACGCTACGTGCACTGTGCCCAACGCTACGTGTACTGTGCCCAACCAGCTCTTATACCCCTACAGTAGCTGAACATTATTTTATTTGACCATTTAAAAACAACAAGATATTGGACCACACCAGCCATAATTAGCCACTAATAATGTCACCCATTCTTACCTTGCGTGAAACAGGCTCGTGTCCCTCCATCAGTGCATACCAGCTCACTAGCTTATTCCAGCCTTCTGTTGGGACCAGGATGTAGTCCAGCTCATCAATGAGGTGCTCCTTGATGGCCAGAACATCCCCATCTACTCACAACAGAGAGAGAGACAGACAGACACAGAGAGAGAGAGAGAGAGAGAGAGAGAGAGAGAGAGAGAGAGAGAGAGAGAGAGAGAATAGGGTCATGTTCATTAGGCAACAAACAGAAGAAAACGGACTGACACGGAAGGACTACCTGAACCTGGCCAATAACAATCTTCATTTTTGTTTGTTTGCCATAATGAATATGACCCAGGTTTAGTGGTGAAAGAGGGTTTCTTAAAGGGAACCATTATAGGACTATGTATGGGTAGGGTTATAATGGGTCATTCATTAGGGCGAGCTTCACTGGTGGTGGCCTACTCATAATGGCAGTTTCTCACACAATAACACACAAAGCAACAGAGAGCTTTCTATAGACCAGAGGTAGGCTACCCTTGACCATTTTCATTTATGTTTACAGAGTCAATTATAGACCTACTTTTTCTGTCATAGTAGTGACATAGTCATAGCCTATAGAAATTGAAAGTATAACAGCCTTTAGTTTGATATATTAGGTAAGATACATCATGATGTTCACTCTAAACATCCTGTACTGCGCAAAACAGTGGTGGGTTCATCCGGACACACTGGGGATGAGTAAAAGCACACATTATAATAATAATAATAATAATATAATATGCCATTTAGCAGACGCTTTTATCCAAAGCGACTTACAGTCATGCGTGCATACATTATTTTTTTGTGTATGGGTGGTCCCGGGGATCGAACCCACTACCTTGGCGTTACAAGCGCCGTGCTCTACCAGCTGAGCTACAGAGGACCACATTATGAAGTCACCATTTCCACTAATCTCTCCAGAGATTGACAATAAATATTGCTTCAAAGAGGTCTGAGTGTGGTGCATCTTACCACTTGTAAGGAGCCCCGAGTTGTCCACTGGTCCAGGGTAGACATTCTGGTCTCCCATCTGATATTTGTCCCAGCTGTCAAAGCCCACATACTTCTTCCACTGTTTGAACCAGTGGCTGTCCACTAGGTACCTATGCAGAAAGAGCGAGCGAGAGCACTGATTATTTAGATCTGAGATCACGCTAGACTATATCTAATGAGTGTGGTAACAGACGGTATCTGATAAGTAAAAAAATAACACACAAAATAACAAAAAGTGTGAAGCACCAAAGTACAGGCAGGGTATCCACTAACCAGCAGGGCTGAGAGAAAGACCTCAGGTTACAAAAGTCTCCTCTGTAATCTTTGTTTATTAGAGGAGAGAAGAACTCGAGACAAAGGGGTTATTTCAGAATGACCAGCAGCTGATCTGTTATGATTAGTTAAAACATAATATTAATTTGATGGAGTAACGTTAAACAATGTAAGGAATGTTACAATTATCACAAAACAGATGCTTGCTAACATAGTGGGAGCTAGCTAGTTCAGACACTTGATTGTTACTAAACATCAATTGTCAGCAGCTAGCTAGTTTCATACTGGCACATTTGTGAGTGTGTTAGCTAGTTTGCATGCTAAGCAATTTTGACAGGTGCTTTTCACGACCCTGATTTGTCAGATGAGCTCACGTCACGGGCAAACCACTTGAAATCAAGTTAGCAAGCTTGGAATCGGAAGATCATGAAACTGAAATCATTGGGAAAATAAATGTATTTTACTAACTACGTTGGTAACATACGTATGTATCTAGACAATACCATGTTGGCAAATAACTTGGTCACTAAAAACTGTGGAATGTAGCGAACCCGCTGGCTAGCTTTAGCTGGCAGAAGCTGACTGACTTGATAACTAACTGACTGACTTGCTAACGTTAACTGGCTCGGTAACTGTCAACACGGCCTGTCACACTCGCTATCCGCTGGTTTGGCACTTTGACAGCCCCGACAGAGTCAGCAAGCACCCTCCTAAGACCTTTAAAAAGTTATCGGCAAACTCTTACCAAGTATCTCCCTTTCGTAGCTGTGTTTTCAGCAGCGCTGCGACTTCTCCTCTCTGGGTATCCAGATCAGCCGCTCCTCCTTCCGCCATCTTTCCTTGGACATCACCTGCTGCATGTTGGGATAGAGGCGCGTCACTCACGCACGCAAGACAGCCCTTTCTAGCCAATCATCAACCCGAACTGGAACTGTGCCTAGTAGCCAGCGGGGAAAGCGCGGCTTCTAGTGGTTCACAGCATGTCCCCTGAATATTGCTAGATCATTCTTGCTCTGATTTATAAAAGATCTGACAATATACATAGAGCAGAACTTGGTCCAAGAAGGACTACACAGGAAAATACTTGAATAGACTAGAACAATACTGTGAAGTGATTGTAAAGCCTTCCATAGTGAAGAGTGATCTCATAAGGATCACAATAATAGCATACAATACACTGATATATATAATATATTACACATTTTGTTTATTTCAAAACATACAGATTCATATTTTTTTTGTAGTCATGTTACACAGAAAATCTAATCATTAAAATATTGTACATAGTTTTCTATTAGTCCAAAGGTTGTTAGCTCTTAGAAAGGAAGCGCTACTAAGGCACACAATAGTAAATGTTGGTAGACAGAAGGTGCTCTTTGGTCAAAGGGGTGAATTGGTCATCAAAAAGAAATGAGGACCAAGGCACACTTCATATAATTAATTAAAATGCCTTTATTTGTATGGCATGTTCAATAGAAACAAGATTTTTTTTTTTTTTTATCCGACGCGTTTCGGCTGCATGGCCTTCGTCAGGGACGGTTGTTAGCTCTTGTTAAATTGACAAAGGTGATACAATACATCCTCGTTTAACAATGATCCACATTCTAACAATATCAATGGTTATTCATCTCATTTATAGTGTACAGCTTATTTTTCTTTACCAGCCCACTGGGCACACACTGGTTGAATCAACATTGTTTCCACGTAATTTCAATGAAATTACGTTGAACTAACGTAACGTGGAAGACGTTGAATTGACATCTGTGCCCAGTAGGATGATTCCTTTAATACAATACAGTAGGCCTAACAACAATCTCCCACTTGGCCATAGACAGACAATATTATACACGTGTAGATCAGTGTCCACTGAACAATGAGAAATAAGCTTTTGTAATTGAACACAGTTGTCATGTTTTCTACCTGAAAGCCCATTGGTTCTGTAAAAGAGAGCTTATGGGATGCAAGAGTGCACACTTGTTCCTCTCTCTCATTGCTTATCTGGCTGCCTGATGCACTTTCTCTTGAATTCTTGAATTGGATTTTCAGTTAATTTCCAAAAATGACTTAATTGACTGAATGAGTCACTCCAACGCTGTCACTGGGGTTTCCTTAGCAGTTTGAGTCCTTCACCCCCACTGGGAGGTAGCCATCTTTGTTTGGTACCCCTACTGGCTCCATGCCTCCCTCGCCCTTGGGGGCGAAGGTGGCCAGCATCCTCTCCTGTTCTCTCTTGGTTTTGGGTAGGTCGTTAGAGGGCTGGAGGAGGATGTGAATGCGCTGCAGAGAAAATGAGAAAAATGAATAAAGCATAATGGACTGAGCAGTTTGAGATAATGTTAGTAATGTTGTGTATCATAGACGAATGAAACATAATGGTCATAAAAACACTGGACTGAGAAACTTAAGGTTACTTGCTTAACCCCGGTTCTCTGATAATATGGGTGAGACATTTAACTGTGGGGTTCTCCAGAATAAGTAGCTCGAAGGACCAATCATACACAACTGTTGAACACAGACAGGTCGTGTGGCGAATGAGTGAGCCCCTCCCCTCATACTAAAGAGTCACTCGGCTTCCCTCTGATCACTCTCGAACGTGACAAACTTCCTCACAAGCTTGCGAGTAGGGGAATGGGGTGAGATGTCACACTCATAATATTAGAGAAGTGAGGTTACACTAGTAACCTTAAGTTCTCTAAATTATTTGATTCGACATCTCACTGTGGGATATGGCCAACTTCTGTATCGCACATGCTCTCTGAAGCCAGGCAGTCTCAATATCAACCCTCAGAGGCCCCGAAACTGTGGACAGTATGTGCCAATGAAGGCACAGTGACGTCTAGTCGGTGGAACCACATAAAAGTATGAGGGGATGCCCTACAAGCCGCATCGCAAATCTCCTGCAAGATTCCCTTAAACAGTGCCCAAGAGGTGACCATACCTCTGGTGATGTGAGCCCTTAGGCCCTCCAGAGTCTGTAACCCCTTGCTATTATAGGCCAATATAATAGCATCCACAATCCAATGAGACAACCGCTGATGAGAGGGGCCTCACCTTTCAGGGAGGCGCCCAAGACACGAAGAGTTGGTCGCTCTTGCGCAAAGTTCTCATCCTATCCAAGTATATGTGCAACACGCATACTGGACAGAAATTGTGTAGCCGCTCCTCTTCCATAAAAAAGGCGGGTGGAAAGGCACAAGCTCCAAGACAAGACAATTGTAATTGTCGCTAACCTTGGGCATAAAAGCGGGTTTGGGCAACAAGGTGACCCAGGAAAATCCCCGGGCAAACTGCAGGCACGAATTGTGAACTGACAGTTCATGTAGCTCACTCACTCGCTTTTGTGGACATAAGGGCGACCAGTAAAGCGGTCTTAAAGGGAAGATATTTCATCTCCACGCTTTCCAGCGTCTGCTGTGAAACAGCCTCAAGCACAATAGACAAATTCCATGATGAGGCTTGGGAACAGGATGTAAGCGACAGGCCCCCTTAATGAAACAACATGACAGGGGATTTTTTCCCACCATGTTTTTGTGGAAGCCTATATGACAGGCCGAGATAGTGTCTAGATAGACCTTAACAGTGGAGAAAGCCTTCCCTCTGTCCAAAAGGTCCTGCAAGAAGCATAAAACCTTGGATACAGAGCATTGGTAAGTTTGTTTTTGGTCAACAGCAATTTTCCTAAATCCCTCTTTGTGGCACCTGACCACACGACTGAACTCTACCCACATGTACATATTACTTCAACTACCTCAACTAGCCGGTGCCCCCACACATTGACTCTGCACCGGTACCCCCCTGTATATATAGCCTCCCTACTGTTATTTTATTTTACTTCTGGATCTATCTACAATAGATGATTGAGTGTGTGGACAGGTGTATTTTATACAGGTAACGAGTTCAAACAGGTGCAGTTAATACAGGTAATGAGTGGAGAACAGGAGGGCTTCTTAAAGAAAAACTAACAGGTCTGTGAGAGCCGGAATTCTTACTGGTTGGTAGGTGATCAAATACTTATGTCATGCAATAAAATGCAAATGAATTACTTAAAAATCATAAAATGTGATTTTCTGGATTTTTGTTTTAGATTCCGTCTCTCACATGATACAAATTACAAAGCATGTAGAGGTCTGTAATTAGGAAAACCTGCTAAATCGGCAGTGTATCAAATACTTGTTCTCCCCACTGTATATAAATAAAAGTATGTGGACACCACTTCAAATTAGTGGATTCGGCTATTTCAGCCACACCCGTTGCTGACAGGTGTATAAAATCGAGGACACAGCCATGCAATCTCAATACACAAACATTGGCAGTAGAATGGCATTACTGAAGAGCTCCGCGACTTTCAACGTGGCACAGTCATAGGATGCCACCTTAACAACAAGGCAGTTCAAGCTGCCCCGGTCAACTGTAAGTGCTGGAGCAACAAAGGCACAGCCGTGAAGTTGTAGGCAACACAAGCTCACAGAACGGGACCACTGAGTTCTGAAGCGCCTGTCCTCGGTTGCAACACTCACTACCGAGTTCCAAACTGCCTCTGGAAGCAACGTCAGCAAAATAATTGTTTGTCAGGAGCTTCATGAAATGGGTTTCTATGGCAGAGCAGCCGCACACAAGCATCGGCTGGAGTGGTGTAAAGCTCACCGCCATTGGACTCTGGAGCAGTGGAAACGCGTTCTCTGGAGTGATGAATCACGCTTCACCATCTGGCAGTCCGACAGATTAATCTGGGTGTGGCGGATGACAGGAGAACGCTACCTGCCCCAATGCATAGTACCAACTGTAAAGTTTGGTGGAGGAGGAATAATGATCTGGTGCTATTTTTCATGGTTCGGGCTAGGCCCCTTATTTCCAGTGAAGGGAAATCTTCACACTACAGCATACATTCTAGACGATTCTGTGCTTCCAACTTTGTGGCAACAGTTTGGGCCCTTTCCTGTTTCAGCATGACAATCCATCAAATGTATTTATAAAACCTTTTTACATCAACAGATATACAGAAAGTGCTATACAATGCGAGGTTCATACAGAAATGGTTTGTCGAGATTGGTGAGGAAGAACTTGACTGGCCTGCACTGAGCCCTGACCTCAACCCCATCGAACACCTTTGGGATGAATTGGAAAGCCAACTGCAAGCCAGGCCTAATCGCCCAACATCAGTGCGCGACCTCACTAAATACACCACCGCTGTCTTCAACCAGGAGCTCAGCGATCACTGCCTCATTCCCTGCGTCTGTAATGGGTCCGCGGTCAAACGACCACCCCTCATCACTGTCAAACGCTCCCTAAAACACTTCAGCGAGCAGGCCTTTCTAACTGACCTGGCCCGGGTATCCTGGATGGATATTGACCTCATTCCGTCAGTAGAGGATGCCTGGATGTTCTTCAAAAGTGCTTTCCTCTCCATCTTAAATAAGCATGCCCCATTCAAAAAATTCAGAACTAAGAACAGATATAGCCCCTTGTTCACCCCAGACTTGACTGCCCTTGACCAGCACAAAAACATCCTGTGTCGTACTGCATTAGCATCGAACAGCCCCCACGATATGCAACTTTTCAGGGAAGTAAGGAACCAATATACACAACCAGTTAGACTAGCTTTTTCAAACAGCAATTTGCATCCTGTAGCACTAACTCCAAAAAGTTTTGGGACACTGTAAAGTCCATGGAGAATAAGAGCACCTCCTCCCAGCTACCCACTGCACTGAGGCTAGGAAACACTGTCACCATCGATAAATCTACGATAATTGAGAATTTCAATAAGCATTCTGCAACCGCTGGCCATGCTTTGCACCTGGCTACCCCTACCCCGGCCACCAGCTCTGCACCCTCGGCTGCAACTTGCCCATGCCCCCCCCGCTTCTCCTTCACCCAAATTCAGATAGCTGATTCCTGAAAGAGCTGCAAAATCTGGACCCCTACAAATCAGCTGGGCTAGACAATCTGGAATCTTTCTTTCTAAAATTAGCCGCTGAAATTGTCGCAACCCCTATTACTAGCCTGTTCAACCTCTCTTTCATATCGTCTGAGATCCCCAGAGATTGGAAAGCTGCCGCGGTCATCCCCCTCTTCAAAGGGGGTGACACTCTAGATCCAAACTGTTACAGACCTATATCCATCCTGCCCTGCCTATCGAAAGTATTTGAAAGCCAAATTAACAAACAGATCACGACCACTTCGAATCCCACCGTACCTTCTCCGCTATGCAATCTGGTTTTCGAGCTGGTCATGGGTGCACCTCAGCCACGCTCAAGGTCCTAAACGATATAATAACCGCGATTGATAAAAATATTCTTATTGGCAGACTAAAAAGCCTTGGTTTCTCAACTGACTGCCTCGCCTGGTTCACCAACTACTTTTCAGATAGAGTTCAATGTGTCAAATCGGAAGGCCTGTTGTCTGGACCTCTGGCAGTCTCTATGGGGGTGCCACAGGTTTCAATTCTCGGGCCGACTCTATTCTCTGTGTATATCAATGATGTCGCTCTTGCTGCTGGTGACTCTCAGATCCACCTCTACGCAGACAACACCATTTTGTATACATCTGGCCCTTCATTGGACACTGTGTTAACAAACCTCCAAACAAGCTTCAATGCCATACAACACTCCTTCTGTGGCCTCCAACTGCTGTCATTTACAAAATAGCTTCCAACACTCAACTCAACAAATTGGATGTAGTCTATCACAGTGCCATCCGTTTTGACACCAAAGCCCCATTTACTACCCACCATTGTGACCGGTGCGCTCTCGTTGGCTGGCCCTCACTACATATTCGTCACCAAACCCACTGGCTCCAGGTCATCTATAAATCCCTTCTAGGCAAATTCCCGCCTTATCTTAGCTCATTGGTCACCATAGCAACACCCACCCGTAGTATGCGCTCCAGCAGGTATCTCTCACTGGTCATCCCCAAAGCCAACACCTCCTTTGGCCGCCATTCCTTCCAGTTCTCTGCTGCAAATGACTGGAACGAACTACAAAAATCTCTGAAGCTGGAGACACTTATCTCCCTCATTAACTTTAAGTATCAGTTGCCAGAGCAGTTTACCGATCACTGTACCTGTACACAGTCCATATGTATTAGCCCACCCAACTACCTCATTCCCATTTGTTATTTACATTGTTATTTATTTTGCTCATTTGCACCCCAGTATCTCTATTTGCACATCATTTTCTGCACATCTATCACTCCAGTGTTAATACTAAATTGTAATTATTTTGCTCTATGGCCTATTTATTGCCTTACCTCCATAACTTACTACATTTGCACACACTGTATATAGATTTTCCATTTTCTATTGTGTTATTGTCTGTACGTTAGTGTTTATTCCATATGTAACTATGTGTTGTTGTTGTTTTTATCGCACTGCTTTATCTTGGCCAGGTCGCAGTTGTAAATGAAAACTTGTTCTCAACTGGCTTACCTGGTTAAATAAAGGTGAAATAAAAAATTCAAAAATAAATAATGCTCGTGGCTGAATGGAAGCAAGTCCCCGCAGCAGTGTTCCAACATCTAGTGGAAAGCCTTCCCAGAAGAGTGGAGGCTGTTATAGCAGCAAAGGGGGGACCAACTCCATATAAATGCCCATGATTCTGGAATGAGATGTTCGACGAGCAGGTGTCCACATACTTTTTTTATTTATTTATTTTACCCACCTTTTCTCCCCAATTTCGTGATATCCAATTGGTAGTTGTGTCAAGGGGAAATGTTCAGTAAGCAAAGGAACCTAAATTCACCTCCCTGAGCGTTCCTTCTGTGGTGGCGAGTTTGTAGATAATCCAGAGAGGGATGCAGACCATGGAGGCAAGAGCCAGGAGCCAGCCTATCACATAGCCCCACCAGGGGTACACATACTCATTGTTGTACTTCAGAGGGGTGTACTTGATGAGGGAGAATGCAAAGGTGGCCTAGAGAAAACAACAAGTATTTGATTTAGCAGTGGGCCTTGACTGGGGCCGTCAATGTTTACAACTCTAACTGGAGTTTTTCCAGATCATGGGATCTGTCTAGGTCCCAGAGTTTTTCCTGGTCAGGAAAAAAATATTTCCCTAACGAATGGCATTTTATACTGTATACGAGAGTTTAAATGGGTTTGTAGGTCACTCACAATGCATGTGGCTGGTGTGACATACAGCCAGCAGTATTTAATGTAAGGTCCTGGACGGTAGCCAATCATGTCTTCGATGTTATCATAGAAGCGGTCGACACCTGGAACAACATACAACAGAGAGACAGGCTAACCATGCTGGGTTTGGTCATAAAACGAGCTGTGGACATAAATGCCAACAATTGGGACTATGAAGCAGTCTCTGAACAGTACTATCAAAAGGTGAGGAATATACAGTGCATTCGGAAAGCATTCAGACCACCTGACTTGCACATTGTTACGTTACAGCCTTATTATAAAATGGATTTCACTGTTTTTTTCTCTCTCATCAATCTACACACAGTACCATATAATGACACAGTAATTCACATTTTTTCCAAATGTATAAAAAACTAAACATAAATATGACATTTACATAAGTATTCAGACTCTTTACTCAGTACTTTGTTGAAGCACCTTTGCAGCAATTACAGCCTCTGGTCTTCTTGAGTATGATGCTACAAGCTTGGCATACCTGTATTTGTGAAGTTTCTCCCATTCTTCTCTGCAGATCCTCTCAAGCTCTGTCAGGTTGGATGGGGAGCATCGCTGCACAGCTATTTTCAGGTCTCTCCAGTGATGTTAGATTGGATTCATGTCCGGGCTCTAGCTGGGCCACTCAAGGACATTCTGAGACTTGTCCTGAAGCCACTCCTGCGTTGTCTTGGCTGTGTGCTTAGGGTTGTTTTCCTGTTGGAAAGTGAACCTACGCACCAGTCTGAGGATGTGAGCAGGTTTTCATCAAGGATCTCTATGTACTTTGCTCCGTTCATGTTTGCTTCGATCCTGACTAGTCTTCCAGTCCCTGCCGCTAAAAAACATCCCCACAGCATGATGCTGCCACCACCATGCATCACCGTAGGGATGGTGCCAGTTTTCCTCCAGACATGACGCTTGGCATTCAGGCCAAAGAGTTCAATCTTGGTTTCATCAGACTGGAGAATCTGAGAGTCCTTTAGGTGCCTTTTGGCAAACTTCAAGCGGGCTGTCATGTGCCTTTTACTGAGGAGTGGCTTCCGTCTGGCCACTCTCCCATAAAGGCCTGATTGGTGGAGTGTTGCTGAGATGGGATAACCTTTCAGAAGGACAACCATCTCCACAGAGGAACCCTGGAGCTCTGTCAGAGTGACCATCGGGTTCTTGGTCACCTCTCTAACCAAGGCCCTTCTCCCCAGATTGCTCAGTTTGGCCGGGCGGCCAGCTCTATTAAGAGTCTTGGTTCCAAACTTCTTCCATTTAAGAATGATGGAGGCCACTGTGTTTTTGGGGACCTTCAATGCTGCAGATATTTTTTGCTACCCTTCCCCAGATCTGTGCCTCGACACAATCCTGTCTCGGAGCTCTACGGACAATTCCTTGACCTCATGGCTTGGTTTTTGCTCTTACATGCACTGTCAACTGTGGGACAGTATATAGACAGGTGTGTGCCTTTCCAAATCATGCCCAATCAATTGAATTTACCACAGGTGGACTCCAATAAAGTTGTAGAAACATGGGATGATCAATGGAAACAGGATGCACCTGAGCTCAATTTCTAGTCTCATAGCAAAGGGTCTGAATACTTATGTAAACAAGGTATTTATTAATTAAATGTTTTATAAATTTGCAAACATTTTTAAAAAACTGTTTTTGTGGAAAAAGTGAAGTGGTCTGAATACTTTCCGAATACACTGTACTGTACTCTGGCATAAACACCAGATTAAACCAGTGACAGTTCTGTCTTTGGGGGATTGATATAGTGTAAAGATCTTTTGAACGGTTCCATTAGATGTTTTTTGTTTTTTAAATTGGATTCTAACTTACCATAGACCCATGCGATGGAGACCGTCTCAAAGATGGCCATGAAGAGAAGACACATGCCACTAGCAGCATAGTAGTCCATCAGCTGGAACACATACACCCCACCCTGAAGAGAGACATGAAAACTCAAAAGCCTGCAATGACAACCCACCGGGCATACATACACTATATATACAAAATTATGTGGACACCCTTTCATTATTGGATTCTGTTATCTCAGCCACACCCATTGCTGATAGGTGTATAAAATCAAGCACACAGCCATGCAAACTCCATAGACAAACATTGGCAGTAGAATGGCCTTACTGAAGAGCTCAGTGACTTTCAACATGGCACAACAAGTAAGCATCCCAGAAGAAAAGTGCTCAAAATAGCCCACGTTAACATATGTAGCTTAAGAAACAGGGTTCATGAAATCAATAATTTGCTAGTAACAGATGACATTCATATTCTGACAATCTCTGAAACTCACTTAGATAATACCTTTGATGATACAGTGGTAGCAATACAAGGTTATAACATTTACAGAAAATACAGAAATGCCAATGGTGGAGGTGTTGCTGTTTATATTCAGAACCACATTCCTGTGAAGATTAGAGAAGATCTCATGTTAAATATTGTTGAAGTAATATGACTACAGGTTCATCTGCCTCACCTAAAGCCTATTCTGGTGGGAAGCTGCTATAGACCACCAAGTGCTAACAGTCAGTATCTGGATAACATGTGAAATGCTTGATAATGTATGTGATATCAATAGAGAGGTATACTTTCTGGGTGATTTAAATATTGACTGGCTTTCATCAGGCTACCCACTCAAGAGAAAGCTTCAAACTGTAACCAGTGCCTGCAACCTGGTTCAGGGTAGTTACAAACAGTACAGGATTTAAATCATCAACATGTATTGATCATATTTTTACTAATGCTGCAGAGATTTGTTTGAAAGCAGTATCCAAATCCATTGGATGTAGTGATCATAATTTAGTAGCTATATCTAGGTAAACCAAAGTTCCAAAGGCTGGGCCTAATATTGTGTATTCCTATGTTGTTGATGTAAATAATATATATGTTGGTCCGTGGTGTGTAATGAGGAGCAAACAGACACTGCACTTGACACATTTATGAAATTGCCTATTCCAGTTACTAATAAGCATGCACCCATTAAGAAAATGACTAAAAACTGTTAAATCCCCGTGGATTGATGAGGAATTGAAACATTTTATGGTTAAGAGGGAATGGCAAATAAGTCTGGCTGCACAATCGATTGGCAAACGTATTGCAAATTGAGAAATCATGTGACTAAACTGAATAAAAAGAAGAAGAAACAACACTGTGAAACAAGGATAAATGACAAAGAATTATTGTAAAAAGCTTTGGAGCACCTTCAATGACATTGGGAAAAAAAGCAAACTCAGCTCCATTATTCATTGAATCAGATGGCTCATTCATCAAAACCAACTGATATTACCAACTACTTTAATACTTTTTTGATTGGCAAGATTAGCAAACTTAGGGATGACATGCCAGCAACAATTGCTGACACTACACATCCAAGTCTATCTGACCAAATTATGAAAGACAAGCATTGTAATTTTGAATTCCGTAAAGTGAGTGTGGAAGAGGTGAACAAATTATTGTTGTCTATTAACAATGACAAGCCACCGGGGTCTGACAACTTTGATGGAAAATTGCTGAGGATAATAGCAGACGATATTGCCAATAGTAAAGCCCCCTTTACTGGCTCAAATAGCCGACCAATCAGCCTGTTACCAACCCTTAGTAAATAATTGGAAAAATTGTGTTTGACCAGATACAATGCTATTTTACTGTAAACAAATTGACAACAAACTTTCAGCATGCTAATAGAGAAGGACATTCAACAAGCACAGCACTTATACAAATGACTGATGATTGGCTGAGAGAAATTGATGATAAAAAGATTGTGGGGGCTGTTTTGTTAGACTTCAGTGCGGCTTTTGACATTATCGATCATAGTCTGCTGCTGAAAAAACATGTGTTATGGCTTTACACCCCCTGCTATAATGTGGATAAAGAGTTACTTGTCTAACAGAACACAGAGGGTGTTCTTTAATGGAAGCCTCTCAAACATAATCCAAGTAGAATCAGGAATTCCCCAGGGCAGCTGTCTAGGCCCCTTGCTTTTTTCCATCTTTACTAACAACATGCCACTGGCTTTGAGTAAAGCCAGTTTGTCTATGTATGCGGATGACTCAACACTATACACATCAGCTACTACAGCAACTGGAATAACTGCAACACTTAAAGAGTTGCAGTTAGTTTCGGAATGGGTGGAAAGGAATAAGTTAGTCCTGAATATTTCCAAAACTAAAAGCATTGTATTTGGATCAAATCATTCACCATACCTTAAACCTCAACTACATCTCGTAATGAATAATGTGGAAATTGAGCAAGTTGAGGTGACTAAACTGCTTGGAGTAACCCTGGATTGCAGACTGTCATGGTCAAAGCATATTGATACAACAGTAACTAAGATGGGGAGAAGTATGTCCATAATTAAGCGCTGCTCTGCCTTCTTAACAACACTATCAACAAGGCAGGTCCTACAGGCCCTAGTTTTGTCGCACCTAGACTACAGGTGCCACAAAGAGGGACTTGGGAAAATTGCAGTTGGCTCAAAACAGGGCAGCACGCCTGGCCCTTAAAAAGTACACGGAGAGCCAACATTAATGACATGCATGTCAGTCTCTCCTGGCTCAGAGTGGAAGAGAGATTGACTTAATCACTCCTTGTTTTTGTAAGAGGTGTCGACAAGCTGAATGTACCGAGCTGTCTGTTTGGAATACTGGCACACAGCTCGGACACCAATGCATACCCCACAAGACATGCCATCAGAGGTCTCTTCACAGTCCCCAAGTCCAGAACAGACTATGGGAGGCGCACAGTACTACATAGAGCCATGACTACATGGAATTCTATTCCACATCAGGTAACTGATGCAAGCAGTAGAATCAGATTTTTTTTAAACAGGTAAAAATGCACCTTATGGAACAGCGGGGACTGTGAAGTAACACAAACATAGACACATGCATACAAACACACGATAACATACGCGCTATACACACACACACACACACACGTCCACATGAATTCTGTGTTATAGATATGTGGTAGTAGAGTAGATGCCTGAGGGCATACGCTTAATATGTTGTGAAATCTGTTATGAATGTATTGTGATGTTTTTAAAATGTATAACTGCCTTAAATTTTGCTGCCTTGGCAGAACAGCCGCACACAAGCCTAAGATCACCAAGCGCAATGCCAAGTGTCGGCTGGAGGGGTGTAAAGCTCGCCGCCACTGGACTCTGGAGCAGTGGAAACAAGTTCTCTGGAGTGGTGAATCACGCTTCACCATCTGGCAGTCCGACGGACGAATCTGGCTTTGGCCGATGCCAGGAGAACGCTACCTGCCCCAATGCATGGTGTCAACTTTAAAGTTTGGTGGAGGAGGTATAAAGGTCTGGGGCTGTTTTTCATGGTTCGGCCCCTTAGTTCAAGTGAAGGGAAATCTTAACGCTATAACATACAATGACATCCTAGACGATTCTGTGCTTCCAACTTTGTGGCAACAGTTTGAGGAAGGCCCTTTCCTGTTTCAGCATGACAATGCCCCCATGCACAAAGCGAGGTCCATACAGAAACGGTTTGTCGAGATCGGTGTGGAAGAACTTGTCTGGCCTGCACAGAGCCCTGACCTCAACCCCATTGAACACCTTTGTGATGTTTTCCCCCCAATTTCGTGATATCCAATTGGTAGTTACGATCTTGTCTCATCGCTGCAACTCCCCAACGGGCTCAGGAGAGGCGAAGGTAGAGTCATGCGTCCTCCGAAACATGACCCGCCAAGCTGCGCTGCTTCTTAACACCTGCTCGCTTAACCCGGAAGCCAGCCGCACCAATCTGTCGGAGGAAACACAGCTCAACTGACGATCGAAGTCAGCTTGCAGGCGCCTGGCCTACCACAAGGAGTCGCTAGAGCGCAATGAGCCAAGGAAAGCCCCCCCGGGCCAAACCCTCCCCTAACCCGGACGACGCTGGGCCAATTGTGCGCCCCCCTATGGGACTCCCGGTCACGGCTGGCTGTGACACAGCCTGTGATCGAACCTCCAGGCAGTAGTGACGCCTCAACACTGCGATGCAGTACCTTAGACCGTTGCGCCACTCGGGAGGCCCCTGGTGTCCACATACTTCTGGTCATATAGTGTATAACAATGTGTTATGCTGTCCTGAACCACAGTCACGAGGTTGTTAACCACTCTGAAGTAGTTTCTGTCCACAAAATGAAAATGTCCTAGCTAATAAAACAAATCAAAATATATATTTTTTGTTTACTTTGAATGCGATCTCGACCAGCCACCTGGTAAGTTTGACTTTATGTCTGCCTGCATATTACAGCTAAAGAACACAATGAAATAGCCCTTGAGGGTTTATCCCCAACCCAGTCCCCAGGCAGGTGTCCCCCCCTAACTAACCCATGAGGGTTAATTCCAAATTCCAGATGTGATGCCTACCTCCATCAGCATGACCAGGCCCATGAGGAAGGAGATGAAGGCCACTAAAGCCAGAAAGAGCTCCCTGCGGTTCTTACGACGGAACACCTCGGGGTACATGTCCACCATGGCCGTTGTCAAGCTCTCTACACACACAAACTGGAGAGAAAGGAAAACATGTTTGGTAACATAAATAGTGAACATCTCTGATATCATGTTAGGCTAGGTATGTTTGATTACATAGTGATGCTCTCGGATCTCCTCTCAGTTCTCGTTGTACAGAAATTGTCCATTATATCCTTATCCGGGTCCATTTGCTTGACAGTATGTTCATAAACATTGTAAATTACTTAAGAGGCCTTACTTGACTGTCCAACCCTAGCAGGATGATCATGATAAAGAAGAAAACGGCCCATAGCGAAGAAAACGGCATCATGGCCACAGCACGAGGGTACGCAATGAAGGCCAGACCAGGACCTAATGAAAAGAGAACAGGGTATCATATATATTAGCGAAATAACATTATACTTGCATTTGAACAAATTATTGAAGTTAACACACACACACACACACACACTCACCAGACTCTGCTACCTCTGAGATGGGGACATCCTGTTCATAAGCCATGAAACCAAGGATGGAGAAGATGGCAAAGCCTGCCACAAAGCTTGTCCCACTGTTCAGGAAGCACAGGGCCAGGCAGTCTCTGCAATACAAGACACCAAAAACATGAAGATTTAAGGGGTGTTTGTTTCCCTTTTATAAGGGAATAATAAAAACAGAAGCCCCAATTACCATAGTGTGTTTGATAAGTGTGTTTAATGCATCTTTAGCGTACTTGTAGCAGTTGTTGTTGTACTTGTTGTAACTCCCCAATGCTATGAGGGAGCCTAGACAGATGGCATAGGAGAAGAAGATCTGAGTGCCTGCATCCATCCATACCTGTCATACAGAGAGAGGTGAGGGTACACACAAACAGAGGACAGTCAAGCAACTACTGTAGAAGAAAATGGACTAATAAATGCAAAGGTGTGTCATCTAGGGATGCTATTGGATCATGCCTAAGCTCATGAATAAATACAAACCTCCTTTTATAAAGTAATGGAGTGTGACCTGTTTTTGTTTTGGCAGGTTTCCTGACTGTGGGCCACCATGTATTTATATATTTTTTTACATCTGTCCCAAATGCTTGAAAACGTACAACACGCATGTGGATAAATAAAACACACCTCTAGTCATGTGTGTTTTGAGAATGTGAGAGTTAAAGAGCAGCCTCATGTGGAGTACCACAGCACATGCTTGTTTTACCTTCCTCTCTGTCCCTAATGAGTTCACCTAATCATTAAGGACCAGTGACACTGCAGAGGTGAATTGTCAACCAGTCAGTTAAACGTCTTGTGGTCTAAACATTGATTAACGATCCCCACCTCTCAATCACCTACCAGACACGGAAGATCTGAGGTGAGATTGGGGGCAGCAAAAGGCCCTGGGATGATGATACATTCAAAATATCTGCCCCGCTAGGGTGTGGATGGGTGGGTTTCGAGAAAGGGCAGGCGAAAGCTGTGGTGTCAATGCCATCAATCCCACTGGCTCAAACCCCCTGCAGACAAACACAATAGGTTTTGGTACTGAGTTTGCCAAACTCTAAATCTATGGCATCAGCCATGCTACGGCCCACCAGTGAGTTCCAATTCCGAATTTCCCAGCCCACCATGTGGAGAATAGCACTTTGATGCTGAACCTGAAAAGACCAGGCTTTGGTCCAGACCAGGCTAAGCCAGTTGAGGGCTGAGCCCTGAGACTGAGGGGGAGTCTAGCAGCCGGAGGGTCCTGGAGGTCAGTGTTTACCTTCACTGCAGTGTCCTGCCCCTCCGTGCAACCCCACCACTCACAGCCTGCTACAGACTCTTTCATGGAACACAGATGGACTGAGCAGAAAATAGCATTCCAGCTAGCAGGAAACCCTGGGATATCTACACCCACACCTGGAGGACCTTCACCCAAGGACCTTCTTCCAAACTTCAAATTCCCCAGTGTGGGAAGACTTTGGGTAATATTGAGATAACTATTACAGACAATTTCTTTGAAATCATGCCAGTCCCGAACATACCTCATTATGTTCTGATAGTCACGTCACCGTAAAATACTGAAAGTAGACTGTTTGTTTGCTATTCTGAGTATAAAATGTAATTTCAGTCAGTCATACCATTGCTTCCACAACAATAAGCTACCTGATGCGAGTGTGTGGTTCAGTCAACAGGGTTTCTATTATGTAACAGCAGGGGCCAGGGGTTATTATTGTTGTTGTGGTACCTACCTGAGGGTCTGCTAGTCTTGACAGGTCAGGGTATAGGTAGAACTTGATCCCTAGGTCCGCTCCAGGTAAAGTGACTCCTCGAATCAGCAGAACTATCAGCATCAGGTAGGGGAAGGTAGCTGTGAAATACACCACCTGTAGATTGGATGGAATCATATTGAAAAGTTCAGTGATCCAACAGATCAGGGTCATGTTCATTAAAGGAAAACACTTTTTTTTATTTTATTCATTGGAAGAAAGAAATGAATGTTTCTCAGTCCAGGTAGTCCCTCCCTGTTTCACTCTGCTTCTTCTGTGTAGCTCTTTACCCTCGTACCCGTATACGGGTTCAAAACAGAAGATTTGGACACTGATAAGCGCCTAAATTGGAACGCAGTGGCTGTACAGTAACACGCTATACATGACATCAGAGCTCAAGGTCTCCGCTTTACAGCCCAGTATTGGTTTTGACTGAAAGCGGTTCTAAACCACGCGGTTCTAAACCATCCCTCTTACTAGTTGGCAACTTTTGCAACTTTTTTGTTGTCTGAGAGAGGGAAACGCTGTAAATTAAGAGGACTCTACATATTTCGAAAGATGAGCTGTTAAGGATTACAACAAATACCGCTTTGACGTCATACAAGCAAGCCAATCAACCCATTAGTCCAAATGTGCACTTCACATTTCCATATCAAAAAACACATGTAATATACAGTGTCAACGTTTATGATCACTATGTACAGTTACAAGATGATATGGCGTCATGCCATGGGTTGTTCTGAACAGAATGAGCCTGTTTGTCGTATGGTGAAGGAATGTGAAGGGGAACACACATTTGAATGCACTCGTCACTCTATGCACACGAAATTACTATCTGCTTCTTTGAATTGCCTTGTAAGATGAACATGACCCTGATCTGTAACTTAGCTAGCCATGTTGGCAATAGAAAACGCTTTCAAATGATGCCCACCTGACCAGATTGCGATTTATAATGGACCATTTTTGGAATGCGTGAACAACAGTAATTGTGTAAAAGGCGGGGAAGCAGGGCTGTGTTCATTTTACATTACATTTTAGTCATTGAGCAGACACTCTTATCCAGAGCGACTTACAGTAAGTAGTGAGTGCAAACATTTTCATATTTGTTCGTACTGGTCCCCCGCGGGAATAGAACCCACAACCCTGGTGCCACAGGAGGCTGCTGAGGGGAGGACAGCTCATAACGGCCAGAACGGAGCAAATGGAATGGAAACCATGTGTTTGATATCATTCCACTGATTCCGCTCCAGCCATTACCACAAGCCCATCCTCCCCAATTATGGTGCCGCCAACCTCAAGTGCCATGTTCCAAAGAAAACTACAAGTCTTCTTGATCTAGTTCCTCAACGGCACAGCAAGGTGAGCTCAAAAAAGCACCTTATAGTGGAAAACTCTTCTTTGAGTGTTAAAAGCGTATTGAAATTACATAGGAACTGTGCACACTTTGGAGAGTTGTGTGGCCACTTGGAGACACCAGTTAGACCTATCACTCAAAACCTTGTATTTTTTTTGTTGCATCTACTCCAAATTTCCATTAATATTCTTATGTTACTGAATGTATCCAGAGTATTTTCATATTTCTTTATCAACATGTGTGGCGAAAAGTACAGTAAATGCACATAAGATCAACAGTGTAATGTTTGAATTCAGTCTTGTGTCAGATTAACTGTTTTGTCAACACCTTTAGTCTAATAATTTTCCCATAATCTCCAAACTGTTCCCTTTTGATTGCTACCATGGTTATGCATATACTATCCTACCGATCCTTGACTTCGGCGATGTCATTTACAAAATAGCCTCCAACACTCTACTCAGCAAATTGGATGTAGTCTATCACAGTGCCATCCGTTTTGTCACCAAAGCCCCATATACTACCCACCACTGTGACCTGTACGCTCTTGTTGGCTGGTCCTCACTACATATTCGTCGCCAAACCCACTGGCTCCAGGCCATCTATAAATCACTGCTAGGCAAATCCCCGCCTTATCTTAGCTCATTGGTCACCATAGCAACACCCACCCGTAGTATGCGCTCCAGCAGGTATATCTCACTGGTCATCCCCAAAGCCAACACCTCCTTTGGCCGCCATTCCTTCCAGTTCTCTGCTGCCAATGACTGGAACAAATTGCAAAAATCTCTGAAGCTGGAGACACTTATCTCCCTCACTAACTTTAAGCATCAGTTGTCAGAGCACCTTACCGATCACTGCACCTGTACACAGCCCATCTGAAATTAGCCCGCTCAACCTCATCCCAACCTCATCCCTATATTGTTATTTATTTTGCTCATTTGTACCCCAGTATCTCTATTTTGCACATCATCTCTTGCACATCTATCATTCCAGTGTTAATATTAATTGTAATTATTTTGCACTAAAGCCTATTTATTTCCTTACCTCCATAACTTGCTACATTTGCACACACTGTATATATATTTTTTTCTGTTGTATTTTTGACATTGTTTTGTTTTACCCCATATGTAACTCTGTGTTGTTGTTTTTATCGCACTGCTTTGCTTTATCTTGGCCAGGTCGCAGTTGTAAATGAGAACTTGTTCTCAACTGGCTTACCTGGTTAAATAAAGGTGAAATAAATAAAATAAAAAAATTAATACTTTCCATATTTCTTCTGTAAGAAACATTTCAATTTAGCCCTATCCATATAGGCCAATTCCCATGAGTGTAAGGGGTTAATGCCTAATGAACATGACCCTGGTGAAGTAAATAAATAAAGACAGGAAGAATTGAAAGAAACAAGCCCACCTTCCCAGTGGATTTGACCCCTTTCCAGATGCAGAAGTAACACATGACCCAGGCGATGGCCAGACAGAGGGCCAGGTCCCAGTTCAGAGAGCCCATGTGGTCGATGCCGGACGACAGCCTCAAGGCTCTTCTCCTGAATAAACACATAACACAGGGGGTCAGAACAAAATCACAATGGATGAAGTGCAGTAACAATTCTAGTTTAGATATTCAGATTTTTAGGACCCTCAGCTACTCCAAATAAGGTTAAAATATCATAAAAGCTTAAAGCCTTCAGGGTCCGGTTTCCCGGACACAGATTAAGCCAAGTCCTGGACAAAAACCTTATTTCAATGGAGATGTGTTGAATAACAAAAATATTTTATTTTTGGGGGGGTAGATCAGCTTTAATATTGCAGATAGATTGTAACTTCCATCAATGTAATTGCTTTGAATACTTACTCCCAGAATTCAATGACGGGGGAAGTGGAGTTTTCGGGCAAGGTGTAGTTGACAGAATAGTTCCTCCTCTGAAACTCCACGCAATTTTCTTAGGTAAAAAAAAAAAGTACATTTTGCATCATTACCACCATAATCACTGACAAGTGTTAAAGCAGTAATATGGATTGCCAACATACATTTTATTGGAATTCAATCATTTTATATTTGTAATATCGCTCCACACAGCAAAGCCACTTTAAAACATAGTTGACCTTTCCATTATTATGGTTGTCTCACCTGTATTCCAGGTGTTGTTGCAGGAGGACCAAGGGAGTTCCCAGGAGAAGGAGAAAGACAGGTAGAAGATTCCCCAAGCCAGGACCACGATGTAGTAGGAGTTCAGCAGAGCCACGATGACCTGGGTACCATAGCCAAGACCTGGAGACAGACAGGATGGGGACAGACAGGATGGGGACAGACAGTAAGGAATGGATCGAAAGTTAATAAAAAGTCCCACTGTAGTAAGTGTCACTAAAACAGGTACAAATATGTTAGTAACTGTGTAATTACATTGTAATTACAATATAAGTACATATTGGAAAAAAGTATTTGATCCCTTGCTGACTTTGTACGTTTGCCCACTGACAAAGACATGATCAGTCTATAATTTTAAATGGTAGGTTTATTTGAACAGTGAGAGACAAAATAACAACAAATAAATCCAGAAAAACGCATGTCAAAAATGTTATAAATTAATTTGCATTTTAATGAGGGAAATAAGTATTTGACCCCTCTACAAAACATGACTTAGTACTTGGTGGCAAAACCCTTGTTGGCAATCACAGAGGTCAGATGTTTCTTGTAGTTGGCCACCAGGTTTGCACACATCTCAGGAGGGATTTTGTCCCACTCCTCTTTGCAGATCTTTTCCAAGTTAAGGTTTCGAGCCTGACGTTTGGCAACTCGAACCTTCAGCTCCCTCCACAGATTTTCTATGGGATTAAGGTCTGGAGACTGGCTAGGCCACTAAAGGACCTTAATATGCTTCTTCTTGAGCCACTCCTTTGTTGTCTTGGCCGTGTGTTTTGGGTCATTGTCATGCTGGAATACCCATCCACGACCCATTTTCAATGCCCTGGCTGAGGGAAGGAGGTTCTCACCCAAGATTTGACGGTACATGGCCCCGTCCATCGTCCCTTTGATGCGGTGAAGTTGTCCTGTCCCCTTAGCAGAAAAACACCCCCAAAGCATAATGTTTCCACATCCATGTTTGACGGTGTGGATGGTGTTCTTGGGGTCATAGGCAGCATTCCTCCTCCTCCAAACACGGCGAGTTGAGTTGATGCCAAAGAGCTCCATTTTGGTCTCATCTGACCACAACACTTTCACCCAGTTCTCCTCTGAATCATTCACATGTTCATTGGCAAACTTCAGACGGGCATGTATATGTGCTTTCTTGAGCAGGGGGACCTTGCGAGCGCTGCAGGATTTCAGTCCTTCACGGCGTAGTGTGTTACCAATTGTTTTCTTGGTGACTATGGTCCCAGCTGCCTTGAGATCATTGACAATATCATCCCGTGTAGATCTGGGCTGATTCCTCACCGTTCTCATGATCATTGCAACTCCACGAGGTGAGATCTTGCATGGAGCCCCAGGCCGAGGGAGATTGACAGTTATTTTGTGTTTCTTCCATTTGCGAATAATCGCACTAACTGTTGTCACCTTCTCACCAAGCTGGTCTTGTATCCCATTCCAACCTTGTGTAGGTCTACAATCTTGTCCCTGACATCCTTGGAGAGCTCTTTGGTCTTGGCCATGGTGGAGAGTTTGGAATCTGATTGATTGCTTCTGTAGACAGGTGTCTTTTATACAGGTAACAAGCTGAGATTAGGAGCACTCCCTTTAAGAGTGTGCTCCTAATCTCAGCTCGTTACCTGTATAAAAAGACACCTGAGAGCCAGAAATCTTTCTGATTGAGAGGGTGTCAAATACTTATTTCCCTCATTAAAATGCAAATCAAAAACATTTTTGACATTCGTTTTTCTGGATTTTTTGGTGTTATTCTGTCTCTCACTGTTCAAATAAACCTACCATTAAAATTATAGACTGATAATTTCTTTGTCAGTGGGCAAACATACAAAATCAGCAGGGGATCAAATACTTTTTCCCCTCACTGTAGAACAGTGATACATGAAAAAGTGTAAAAAGCTTGGACACAAACCCTTATTGTATGGCATAACTTTATTTACAGTACAATGCCTAAAAGGAAGATATACTCCCATAAGAAAGAGCAGGTTACCCTCAAACAGTGGACTGATCTTCCTCCAGCAGGTGATGCCTCCCTCGCTGGTGTACTGGCCCAGAGCAGTCTCCAGGAAGAACACAGGTATGCCACAGGTGAACAGGAAGATCAGGTAGGGGATAAGAAATGCACCTGGGGGACAGGAACGGGAGAGAGTCATACAAAGAATATACAATGAGTGTACAAAAAACATAAGGAACACCTGCTCTTTCCATGACAGACTGACCAGGTGAATCCAGGTAAAAGCTATGATCCCTTATTGATGTCCATTTAAAATCAGTGTAGATGAATGGGAGGAGATTTAAGAAGGATTTGTAATCCTCGAGACAATTGAGACATGGATTGTGTGTGTGTGCGCCATTCAGAGGGTGAATGAGCAAGACAAAAGATTCAAGTGCCTTTGAACTTTATTTTTTATTTATTTATTTCACCTTTATTTAACCAGGTAAGCCAGTTGAGAACAAGTTCTCATTTACAATTGCGACCTGGCCAAGATAAAGCAAAGCAGTGCGATAAAAACAACAACACAGAGTTACATATGGGGTAAACAAAACCTAGTCAAAAATACAAAATATATATACAGTGTGTGCAAATGTAGCAAGTTATGGAGGTAAGGCAATAAATAGGCCAGAGCAAAATAATGACAATTAGTATTAACACTGGAATGTTAGATGTGCAAGAGATGATGTGCAAATAGAGATACTGGGGTGCAAATGAGCAAAATAAATAACAATATGGGGATGAGGTAGTTGGGTGGGCTAATTTCAGATGGGCTGTGTACAGGTGCAGTGATCGGTAAGGTGCTCTGACAACTGATGCTTGAAGTTAGTGAGGGAGATAATAGTCTCCAGCTTCAGAGATTTTTGCAGTTCGTTCCAGTCATTGGCAGCAGAGAACTGGAAGGAATGGTGGCCAAAGGAGGTGTTGGCTTTGGGGATGAACAGTGAAATATACCTGCTGAAGCGCATACTACGGGTGGGTGTTGCTATGGTGACCAATGAGCTAAGATAAGGCAGGGATTTGCCTAGCAGTGAGTTTTACGAGGGCATGTTTGGCAGCATGAGTGAAGGAGGCTTTGTTGCGAAATAGGAAGCAGATTCTAGATTTAACTTTGGATTGGAGATGCTTAATGTGAGTCTGGAAGGAGAGTTTACAAATACCTAGGTAGACTCTAGTTGTCCACATACTCTAGGTCAGACCTGCCGAGAGTAGTGATTCTAGTCGGGTGGGCGGGTGCCAGCAGCGTTCGATTGAAAAGCATGCATTTAGTTTTACTAGTGTTTAAGAGCAGTTGGAGGCTACGGAAGGAGTGTTGTATGGCATTGAAGCTCGTTTGGAGGTTTGTTAACACAGTGTCCAATGAAGGGCCAGATGTATACAAAATGGTGTCGTCTGCATAGAGGTGGATCTGAGAGTCACCAGCAGCAAGAGTGACATCATTGATATACACAGAGAATAGAGTCGGCCCGAGAATTGAACCCTGTGGCACCCCCATAGACTGCCATAGGTCCAGACAACAGGCCCTCCGATTTGACACATTGAACTCTATCTGAGAAGTAGTTGGTGAACCAGGCGAGGCAGTCAGTTGAGAAACCAAGGCTATTTAGTCTGCCAATAAGAATGCGGTGGTTGACAGAGTCGAAAGCCTTGGCTAGGTCGATGAAGACGGCTGCACAGTACTATCTTTTATTGATCGCGGTTATAATATCGTTTAGGACCTTGAGCGTGGCTGAGGTGCACCCATGACCAGCTCGGAAACCAGATTGCATAGCGGAGAAGGTACGGTGGGATTCGAAATGGTCGGTGATCTGTTTGATAACTTGGCTTTCAAATAATTTCGAAAGGCAGGGCAGGATGGATATAGGTCTGTAACAGTTTGGATCTAGAGTGTCACCCCCTTTGAAGAGGGGGATGACAGCGGCAGCTTTCCAATCTCTGGGGATCTCAGACGTTACGAAAGAGAGGTTGAACAGGCTAGTAATAGGGGTTGCGACAATTTTGGCAGCTAATTTTATAATGGTCCAGATTGTCTAGCCCAGATGATTTGTATGGGTCCAGATCTTGCAGCTCTTTCAGAACATCAGCTGTCTGAATTTGTGTGAAGGAGAAGAGGGGGGGGGCATGGGCAAGTTGAAGCGGAGGGTGCAGAGCTGGTGGCCGGAGTAGAACGGGGTATGGTAGTAGGTGCCAGGAGCACCGGTTTGAGTATGTCAAGAACTGCAACGCTGCTGGGTTTTTTACGCTCAACAGTTTCCTGTATGTATCAAGAATGGTCCACCACCCAAAGGACATCCAGCCATGAAAGAGGACAAAGGAGGCTGACACGAATTGTGCAGAGTAACAGACAGGCTACAGTTAGTCAACTGACAGTCAAGTACAACATTGGTGCCCAAAGACCCATAAAAGAATGCACAACTCGTCGTACCTTGAGAGGAATGGGGTATGGCAGCTGACGACATTACAGAGTTCCACTTCTTTCAGCAAAAAACAAGAACCTGTGGTTCCAGTGGGCAAAAAAACAAAAACACTGGATACTGGAGAATTGTAAAAACATTGCCGGGTCTGATTAATCCCTGTTCCTGCCGTTTCACACTGATGGGAGGACTATATGGAGAAAACCACATGAGTACATGCATCCATCATGCCGCGTGTCAACATTGCAGGCTGGTGGTGGTGTTGGGTTCGTTTTCACGGCACACATTGGGCCCCTTGATAAAAGTGCTGCAACGTTTAAATGCCACAGGATATCTGAACATCATTGCCAATCAGGTGCATCCCTTCATGGCAGCAGTGTATCCATCTGCAAACTGATTTTTTCAGCAAGATAATGCCCCATGCCACAAGGCTAGGATTGCCAAGGAATGAATTACCTCTTGTAGAGACTATAATAAGGTGTTTCATCCATACGGTTTCAACGATTCAAATTTCAGTCTGTGATTAATCTCAATCAATGTCAACATATTGTATTTCCACGCTGAGTTAATGACGCAGTCTGTCGACTTTTGGTGTCAGCCGATCTGAAGATGTTTAGAGTGCTTGGATGGATGGATTTCCGGAGCATGGCAAACGCCGCAGGGGCAACTGCTTGACCACAGGCTATTTAGGACAGAGGGGAAACAACAGCTGTGACATTCTCTGACCCCTAACCTCTGATCCCATACACCCCGCAGAGAAATGTCTGATGTAGCACCTACATAAGCATTTCCCTAAACCCATGGCCTGATCTAAATAGGCCTGAGTCCCAATTAGAACCAACACTGCTTTTATAGCTAGGCCTCAGTGTATTCAAATAAATGTGATTAAACTCAAATTGAAATAGCCATTTGCAATCGGTCAGTGGAGATGCACGGTTGAGGCTCTTTGCTCCACTAGGAGCTAAAATGAATAAGTCAAGAAAATCATTTGCAAACTATTATTTTCAATTAAGAACAAATCCTTATTTAACATGACGACCTATCAAACACATCAATACATGCTTGCCTTTGTGACTCAAAATTAAATGTCTGTGACCTCCTCTGGGCTCATCCTTTAGAACTCACCTCCTCCATTCTTGTAGCAGAGGTAAGGAAAGCGCCACATGTTCCCCAGGCCGATGATGGATCCCATCACAGACAGGATGAACTCCAGTTTGTTGCTCCATTGGCCCCTCTCCTGCATCTTCTCCTCTGACTGGGGCTGAGGGACAGGGACCAGGTCCTTCAGCCTGCTGCTGTTCTTGCCATTTGAAAGGCCTGCTTTAACTATTTCAAGCAATAAAAACACAGAATAAGTTAGGCTGTTTTCAAGACAAGTAGGTACATGTAGTGATGCATATACGTTATGCAAATACACATATTTATTTTAAAATGTAAAGTAACATGTAAGTAGCCTGGGTACCCGTCTGTTCGAGTTATTATTCCACTCCATGTCATGCCATGTTTGCTGAGGAGTGGAAAGTTAGCAAAACAGGTTCTAGACTTCAGGATAACATGTAAGTACATGTCAAGTACATTGATCCCGCGCCATATAATCTTTTGTCTAATGACTCCTCAAAAAAAGGTTGTGGCTCTCTAACTGCCATCTGAAGAACTTAATGTACTCAAAAACAGGCAGAGATTTACACAATCAAGTTCAGGCCTACCTTAAATTGATTAACATGTTGCATTGATCATCATGTCATGTACATACTGTACTGATATTGATCATGAATGGGTGGGAGTGGCAACAGCCCTCAGACAGCAGGTATAGAGAATTGATTAGTTCTTTACAAATGTAATATAATATTTTAATATGCCATTTAGCCGACGCTTTTATCCAAAGCGACTTACAGTCATGTGTGCATACATTTTTAAGTATGGGTAGTCCCGGGGATCAAACCCAATACCCTGGCGTTACAAGCGCCATGCTCTACCAATTGAGCTACAGAGGACCACAAATGTTTTACATTGAAAATCTAAATCTGGGGAAACAGCCCAGGATGATTCCACACTAAACCTTAGATCTCACATCATTAAAATACACCCAGAAGTGAAGTCATCTTACAATTTACTTGATTCAAAATAAAAAAGCCTTAGAAAGACATGATGTACCATGTTCTACACCAATGTCTTAGAATTCAAATATTAGTCAAGTACGTACCATTCATTGCTTGGGGTGTCTCAAGTCTCAAGGTTGGCTCTCTGTCAGTGAATATCGATCTGTAGATGTTCACATTTCAGTATTTAACATGAGGGGCGAATAGGGGGTGGGAGGTTGTAATCCTAAATTCAGGCTCAGCCTCCAATCCACTCTCTGCCCATATGACCACTCCCCTCCCCACTTAGATACTCCCACTTATTGAGTCAGTTGATTCTAATGCTTAAAATAAGCATA